AAAAAAGAGGTAATTATAACTCTTTTGCAAATTGAGAAAGAACTTTAGGTAGAAGTTGAAAACCTTTGAATATTATTGTTGTTGTTGGACTTATTGCCTCATAAGAATTGGATAATTATATTACATATATTTAATACATATTGTTTAGAGGTTTTGTCATTGGTCATCGGTGGAGGATAACATTGTGTTGTTGAAATGATTATGTGTGCGTAGTACACTCGAGTTATTTATGCTTATTGTACAAAGTGATGGTTGGAAAATGTGCATGCACTGAGAGTATGAGGTACCTTCTAGCTAGCGCTTGGAGAAGTTGACCGCACTAAGAATTAGAGGTACCAGTACCTTCCAGCTAGCGCCTGCAGAACTTGGTCGTGCTGAGAATAAGAGATACCAGTACCTCCAGCTAGTGCCTGGAGAACTTGACAGAGATACCATTACCTTCCAATCGGTGTCTAGAAAATTGACATTTTGTTGAGAAAAGATGTACCGTTGGCTTACTGTGCTTAAGGCAGATAAAGCAGAGTTGTTTATTATTATTGTTATAGTGCGACTGTGATATGTTATGTGTTATGATGATTGTGGTTCTGGGAGACTGAGTTGTCTTAAGAGTTGAGTATGTAGTGGTTGAGTGTGTGTTGTTTTCACCTCTTGAGTTAAATGGTTATGTGTACACGTGGGTGTATCAAATTGATTGTTGATAGTATTTTCCTTAACCTTGGGTTTACGGCATGGAAATGTGATGAATGTATTTATCCATTGAGGTTGTAAGAAACAAGGAAAAGAAAATCGGATCTTTGTGATTTGTTTCTAAGGCAAGGCGATTATTATGTAATACTTTGTTAAAGATGGGAAAATGAGAAGTAAATGTGAACTGGTTGTGTTGTTGAATAAATCAGATGATTTTGAGAAAAGTATCTACGTACGTATACTTTGGTTATAAACCGTCACAATATGTATATGATATGATGTGAAGCATTTATGATCATAGCTATCTGTACTTTGTGTTCATCCCACGTTGCTAATTCTTTTCAAACGATGTTAAGAAGGGCTCGAGATTAAGGATCATCCTTAGTTGTCGGCCACGGGGCCTTTTTATTTGTGGGCGGAATGCCGTTATTGTAAAAAGGTTAAACCATTTCTTTTACTTTTAAAAATGTAAGCCTATGGGCTATTTATTTAGTTATACTCCTGTTGCATTCATTTTGTATTCAGATGAGGGAATCTTTATTTATTCTTTCTTATTGATGTAAAGAATTTTCGCATGTTATCTCTGAAATTGAATTAATTTGATGATTTTGGTAATGAATTCCGAGTAATAAAAAGTGGGGCGTTATAAACAATACCATTTAAATAAGAGAAAATATATGGTACTTTCGAGGCACAGTTAGGTGATTACCAAAAGTTTTATGTATGTGGAGAGGGTGGGGCCCCAATTTATATTGGAGCATGAAGCATAATGTTGGGTGATTGGTGAATAATATTGTCATGTATTACACTTATAACACCGAACAATTTTTTATTAGCACTAAATGAATTGTTGTCTCTCAATGCCTTCCACCTTTTAATAAGGGTAAAACAATCACATATACATAAATATTTTGAAAATAGGACTTTATGTGTTAAAAAAAAGTAAATTCTATTTACACCTCCATTACTCTTAGTTCACACCATTATTTATAATATTTTAATTACAATTTTATCCTTTAATCAAATATCCAAATCGCTCTCATCTCTATTTCATCCATTCATCAACAAACCCTAACCTAACCTATTGACAGCTACCACCACCGACCAACCATCATTGATTGGCCAACCACCACCATCAGAAAGTCATCTTTATCGTTGTTGTCGCCGCTCTCCTTCTTTCATTCCGTCGTTGCAGCCATCACCACCCTCCTTTGCAACTTTTTTTTGTTACTCTGCCATCACTGCCATTGCCGCTTCGCCTTCCCAGTCCATCGCTTCCACCACCATCCTTTAATCACCACCATTACAATGACCTATCACCATCGTGCCTCTCATCACGTAAAGACCACCACCATCACAACTCGCCTACATTTGATGACCAACCATGTGTATTCCGTAGAGAGAGATTTGAGGGATTGCGATGACTGTGCATCGCTTCAATGAGGGTTGCGATGGTGGTATGGCAGTGGTGGTAGGGACGAAGATAAGGGTTGCGACGAGGGGAGAGGGGTGGAGGTCGGTGGCTAATGGCTAGCGATGGACAAGGTTTTAGGTTAGGGTTAGGGTCGGAGACGATGAGAATAATTTGGTATTATTTAAAAATTAGTGGTGTGTCTTGAGACAAAATTAAAAACTTTCATTTGTGTGGTGTGAACTGAGCAAGTGATGTGTACTAAAAAGATTTGTGGTGTGTAAATAGAATCACCCTAAAACAAAAAGGAGGACTTAATGGAATATCAACCTTTATCAATAGGACTTTTATATGATTAACCCTACAAAATAAGACTGTAAAACTAATCATTTCAAAAGTTCTTCCCAAGAATTCTAAGTAAAACAAAAACCTTGTAAGTTATAAAAATCTCTTTGGAACCGCTACTCAAACGAGTGAAGATCTTTTGTAGTGTTTTTCCTTGTAGTGTTTGTGTAGTGCACCAAAATGACGTCGTTTTGGTGCTCATACCAAAAAAAAATGAAACGAAACGAAACGAAATGTAAAAGAGAAGAAAAAGCCAGAGAGAAGAAGACCCACAGTGCAAACAAAGCACTTTTTTACATTCCTTTCTCACAATCGACTACCATGACCACTTCTGGCAATCACCCCTCCTTTCCCATTTTCTCCCCTCCCTCTCCTTTACCAAAATCTGCTATTAACATCTCTGGCGACCCCCCGCCTGCGAGATCCACCTCATCTTCCCACTGTAGACCCACCCCTACCAATCCTTTCTCCATCTCAACTCCGACGAGCCTCTCTAACCCGTTTCTACCCCCACCCGCCCCTGCTCAGCCACCATTGCCGCCGCAAGCTCTCTCTATCTCTATCTCTATCTCTATTTCAATCTCGCCAGTGCTGCTGTTGGCAGGGGTAGTAGGGTGGTCAAATAGTGGAGGGGTAGTATCGATCAAGCACCTCTCTCTCTCTCTCTCTCTCTATGTCTCTCTCTCTTTTACCAATAGGTCTTCTCTCTCGTGCTTCTATGCTTTGCTCTTGCGTTTTGTTGCAAAATTATTTTTTGGGGGGTGTGCAACAAAATGACGTTAGTTTAGTTTTGCATGTGGCATTTATCCATGCAAAATTCTAATGGTGAATGGCAGCGAGACCACATTGTAACAAAATTAAAAATATAGGGTTCAAATTGAAAATACAGTGACTAAACTGACATTTCATTTAAACTATATGAACTAATGGTTGTTCCTTAACCTCAAAACTCTTTATTTAAAATTCTAGGGATAATTACCAAAAAAAAAAAAACTCCAATGTTTGACCCTTGTAACAATATAAACTCTAAGTTTTCAATTTTATCAATTTAAATCATGATCTTTTAATTTGTTTTTAATCTAAATCATTTGTCTACTTTTGTTAACTAAAAATGATCAGAACAAAATAGTATTTTAGTTATTAAACTCAATGCAGGTACATAAAATGTCCAAAATACCCATTTTCAGTGAGTTTAATGACTAACATATCCATTTTTCTATTGATTGTACTTAACAAAAATAGACAAATGATTCAGATTGAAAACAAATTAAAAATTCAAGTTTTAAATTGACAAAATTAAAATTCATGGTTTATTTTGTTACAAGGGTCATTTGTGTGTGTGTGCGTGTGTGTGTGTGTAATTTTCCCTAAATTCTTCCATCCAAAATACAATCTTAGTATTTTTAAATAAGAAACTTACGTGTAAGTTTTAATACGTAGACTTATTGTCCAATATGTCCTGTGAGAATTAATAGCGTTTTTCATCAAACACTGTTTAAAAAAATCACTAATTGTTAACTTTCAGCGACAGTTTGAAAAATTTGTCACAAAAAATTGTTATAATTATAAGTTTTAATGACTGTTTAAAAAAAATCATCACAAAAAAATTGGCTAATTTTTAACTTTCAATGACAGTTTGAAAAATTCATCACATAAAAATGTCACTAATTGTAAGTTTTAGCAACAATTTATAAAAAAAACATAACCAAAAAAAAGTCACTAATTGTTAATTTTTAGCGACATATGCAAAAAATAGTCATAAAAAATTATTTTAGTAACGATTTTACTAGGACTTATTTTCAATAGTACTTGATAGGAATTAAGGCCAACTATTAGTACCAATTCATATTTTACCCTTTAAATAATTTGGTCAAAGTTCGCAAAATTATAGCCCAATTCATATTAGTTTAGCTAAATTTTTAGTCAAAAGAAATAGGGCAAATTATACCTATAGTCTCTATACTTGGCTCTCATGTCAATTTGGTTTCTGTAATATGAATTTTGCCCTTTAATTTTTTAAATTGTGTCAATCTAGTCTAAGTGATAATAGCCGTTTAAAAAATTGAATAAAAATCGAAGGCAAGATGAACTGCTAAAAAGAGAATGAATCATTTCAAATTGGATGCGAATCCTTCAATAACTTTGAAGGGAATTAAAAAAAAACCATTTTATCTCTTAATTTTAGTCCAATTTCTAAATGAAATATTATCAATTAGACTAAATTAATACCATGTGCAAAATCGAAAGGTAAAATTGATGCAATTAAATTACAATAACCAAATTGATATAAAACAAACTAGAAAAATTAAATGTAATTTGTCTAAAGAAATACGACGCATAAAAAGAGAAATTTGTTCCTAAATACTAATTAATTTCAAGTGTAGTTTGACGTTCTAATTTTTGCATCCAACAACATATTCAATCCAAAATATGTTGTGTTCTCATTATAGCCCAAAAGGTCAAATGAAAATAGCAAAATAATAACTAAATTTATAGACGCCCCACAGCAACGAAGCTTAAATAAATAAATAAATAAGCTTAAGTCAAAGAAGCATACCTTATTGAAGAGAGGTTGAATAGTATTGTAATTGCTATCCGAAGTATTACAAAAACTACTGAGCTTTGGCATCTGGCTGAGTCTTAGCTTGTTCAATTGCAGCAGCTCAATTCCATTCGTAGCCTTGCAGATAGCAGTAAAACTTGGCAGGCCTTGGAGATACAAGTCCTCTAGTTTAGGAAACACAATTTTATCTGTTGCTTCTATTGTTGTTGATGCTATCTCATTTTCATCTCCTTCTTCTTCACTCGAAATAAGTACTTCCAATTTACGACATTCAGATACACGAAGTATCTCTAGTTGCATCAGATCTCTGGCTATGGATAATGAGAACATGCTTTCCAGTTTATCACATCTCTTCAGTTCTAGAAAAGTAAGGTTGCGAAGCTGTACAAGTTGAGTAGGACCCTTCCACAAATGTGTCAATGCGGGCATGTCCCCTAGTCTCAGCTCTTCCAACGCACTGAAGGCCACCTGTAATGCTCCAATTTTCATAAAATCCGATGAAACAAATCAAACTCATATTCCTTATTTATTTTCAAATCAAATTAAATTAACATGCGGAAGGCAAAAATCTTATCAAGATTCAACAATAATCATATACAAAATAATTCTCTTTTCTTGTTATACTTCATTTCATTATAGTTTGAGATTTACAAAAGAGATTACATACGATTGCACATTCACAATTTCCAAAGCATGGATCTATAACATGTGATATAAGACTACATAACTATTCAAAATTTAAATGCCCTAAGGGATTATAAGTTACAATGGTTAGAACCCTATTACAAAAAGAATGGGTCTATACCCAAACATATAAACCAATGCTTTACAAAAATAAGCAAACAAAATGAAGGAGCATTCATGCTCCAAAAATCACATCACGAGCCATCAATGAGGCGGAGGCAAATCGCCAACAACCAAAAATGATTTTTCACGAAGGGATGAACACTAATGTCCAATAGATATAATATTAACAATGTATATGAGATTAACACGATTATGGTCATGAATGCAATGATGTGTGCTATGCTTAAAATATAAGCTTTTTTTTTTTATTCTTTTTACAATAGGATGCTCAACGCACAACTTTCAAAATAATATTCATTTCAAAACATCGGGCCAGTAAGGCCTTGTTTGGCAAAGGCTAAAATTGGGCTTTTTAGGCTAAAATTCACAAAAAGACAAAAGGCTAAAATAGCCAATAAGACAAAATGTCACATCAAACCCATAATCATTTCACTTTTTCTCTCACAAACATCACATCTAATTACAAAAAAATCCAATCATCTTCCCAAACATAAAAATTTTAGCCTACTAAAATAGTCAAAAACTAAAATAGCCTACTTTCCAAATAAGGCCTAAATAAGACATTGGAATTTCCTAGTATGTGTCTGCAAGTAGGCTTTCAAGCACTACCAAATACCACTTTAACGGTTACTAACCAGAAGGAAATTGATACCTATTCCGCTCGTGCTTTAGGACTTTTACCATGACTCTCAAACCAACTTAATTCTCAAATCCACAATTACATCCCCTGTTTAGATTTACCACATTATCAACATTTCCAATATTTCAAAATAATAGCACAATCTCATTGTAAGGCCATGGAAGTGCAATGGCTTCACGAAACAGTAATCTGTAACAAAATGTTTCAAGAAGAAAATATATTTAGAGCATAACTCAACATTCTCAATAATTCCAAAATAGTATGAGATTCCAATAAACTCATCAGTTACTCTCAACATATATCCCATATTTCATAATTTCTATTATTTCCAATAAATCCAATAAATTCAATATAACTAATATCTCCAAGGAAATTCACAATCTCCATAATAAATCACCAATTTTCACATTATTCCAACAATTTAATCCTATTCAAAATCACATTTTTCATTTCTCAAATTTTCTAGGGTTTGAAAAAAATTTAGAGTTTTCTCAATTTAAATATAACCAAAGTTTTAAATAACGATGGCGGTTACTGAAATGGTAGTGGTAATGCAGACGCAATGCGGGGTGTTACTGCCGTTGTGTAACTGTGGCGGCAACTGGAGCCGTGAATTTTTTAATTCTTCGCACAACTTTAAGAAAGCATACCGATATGCATGTTTTTATTTCAGTATCACATTTAGTGAGGCTCAAAATGATTTTTAGTATTTTTGTTTAGTTTTAAAAAATGATCCAATATATATACTAATTTTTATATTAGTTTTAAGTTGCTCTGAAAAATTTTCTTATTGTTGAATTTATTTAATTTTCGTTACTTTACTAATTATAATTATGGATAACTTTTCCGATTTGTTAAAAAAAATGAATATTAAAAACAATAGTCTCATAAATAGAAATTCAAAAAGCAAAATGTCAAACATAATAATGTAAAAGTACATAACTTATTCAATAAATTTAACATAAGAGAAATATATTAAGTTCATATTCAAATATAATTAAGTAAAAAAGTAATTAAACCATGTAGAACTTGAAGATTGGACATTCAAAATATATATAGATAAGATTTTTACTTAACATCTACGTAACTAGAAAATAAAAAGAGAAAATAGCAATATACGCAAAATTTATATAAAAATAATATATATATATATATATGTTTAACGGCTGTAACGGTACTGTAGCGGCAATGTAACGGCCGCTACGGCCTTTACGTAACGGTGGCGGCCGTTGCGGTCATGAATTTCTGTCACACCACTATAGCGGTCATAACGAATCTTTTTAAATACAGTGAAGATTGTCCTACAGGGATGAACACGGATGCCCAGTAGATATAATATTTACAATGTATATGAGATTAACAAGACTATGATCATGAATGCAATGATGTGTGCTACGCTTAAAATATAAGCTTTTTTTTTTCTTTTTTTTTTTAATAGGATGCTCAATGCACAACTTTCCAAATAATATTCATTTCAACATTTTCATTTCAAAACATCGGGCTAGTAAGGCCTTGTTTGGCAAAGGCTAAAATTGGGCTTTTTAGGCTAAAATTCACAAAAAGACAAAAGGTTAAATTGCCAATAAGACAAAATGTCACATCAAACCCAAAATCATTTCACTTTTTCTCTCACAAATATCACATCTAACTACAAAAAAATCCAACCATCTTCCCAAACACAAAAATTTTAGCCTACTAAAATAGTTAAAAACTACAATAGCCTACTAAAATTGCCAACTTCCCAAACAAGGCCTAAATAAGACATTGGAATTTCCTAGCACGTGTCTGCAAGTAGGCTCTCAAGCAATACCAAATACCACTTTAACGGCTACTAACCAGAAGGAAATTAATACCTATTCCACTTGTATTTTAGGACTTTTACCATGACTCTTAAACCAACTTAATTCTCAAATCCACAATTACATTCCCTATTTAGATTTACCACGTTATCAACATTTCCAATATTTTCAAAATAATAGCACAATCTCAATGTAAGGCCATGGAAGTGCAATGGATGCATGAAACAGTAATCTGTAACAAACTATTCTAATAAGAAAATATATTTAGAGTATAACTCAACATTCTCAATAATTCCAAAATAGTATGAGATTCCAATAAACTCATCAGTTCTCAACATATATCCCATATTTCATAATTTCTATTATTTCCAATAAATCCAATAAATTCAAGATAACTAATATCTCCAAGGAAATTCACAATCTCCAAAATAAATCACCAGTTTTCACATTATTCCAACAATATAATCCTATTCAAAAATCACATTTTTCATTTCTCAAATTTTCTAGGGTTTGAAAAAAATTTAGAGTTTTCTCAATTTAAATAAAACCAAAGTTTTAAATAACGGTGGCGGTTATTGAAATGGTAGCGGTAATGTAGACGCGATTGCGGGGTGTAACTGCCATTGTGTAATGGTGGCAGCAACTAGAGCCGTGAATTTTTTAATTCTTCGCACAACTTTAAGAAAGCATACCGATATGCATGTTTTTATTTCAGAATCACATGTAGTGAGGCTCAAAATGATTTTTAGTATTTTTGTTTAGTTTTAAAAAATGATCCAATATATATACTAATTTTTATATTAGTTTTAAGTTGATCTGAAAAATTTTCCTGTTGTTGAATTTACTTAATTTTTGTTACTTTACTAATTATAATTATGGATAACTTTTCCGATTTGTTAAAAAAAAATGAATATTAAAAACAATAGTCTCACATATAGAAATTCAAAATACAAAATGTCAAACATAATAATGTAAAAGTACGTAACATGAAATCTAAATTTTGTTCAATAAATTTAACACGAGAAATATATTAAGTTCATATTCAAATATAATTAAGTAAAAAAGTAATTAAACCCTGTAGAACTTGAAGATTGGACACTCAAAATATATATAGATAAGATTTTTACTTAAGTTCTATGTAACTAGAAAATAAAAGGGGAACTTACTGATAAGTCCCATGTAACAAGTTCAAAACCCAATTAATCCCAAAACAAAATACTTGCACCAATTAGTCCAACACATTTTTAATTGTTACCAAAAAATCCTTTTTTTTTTTTTTAATTTATAGACACTGTTCACATCTTACTACCGTCGGACTTCCGTTTAACGGTCGCCGGAGACTCACCGGAATGTCTAGAATATTGCCGAAAAAAAAATAAAAATAAAAAACATGTTATGAAACTGTAAAATTTTACAGTTCTAAATAATGTTATAAAACTGCAAAATTTTACAGTTTTAAACCATGATTCATTCCAGCACAAAAAAAAAAATTTGAAACTGCAAAATTTTACAGTTTTCACCGCCTGTAACTAAAACTCGAAAACTGCTTGTTCAGAAGTCGAAAATTTTCTCCATTAGAACAGAAAAACAGAAGTGTATAGCAGAGAGAGAAAAAAAAAAAGAGATCGAAGGGGAAATACGGATGTCTAACCAAATCTGTGTAGATCTACTCAGATCTGATGTAGATCTGAGTAGATCTATATCAGATCTAAGTAGATCCATTCATCTTCTTCGTCGGAAAATATATCATCTTCTTCGTCGGAAAAAATGGAGGCAAATCACCAACAACTAAAAATGATTTTCCACGCAGGGATGAACACTAATGCCAATAGATATAATATTAACAATGTATATGAGATTAACACGATTATGATCATGAATGCAATGATGTGTGCTATGCTTAAAATATAAGCTTTTTTTTTATTCTTTTTTTTTTTTTTTCATTAGGATGCTCAATGCACAACTTTCAAAATAATATTCATTTCAACATTTTCATTTCAAAACATCGGGCTAGTAAGGCCTTGTTTGGCAAAGGCTAAAATTAGGCTTTTTAGACTAAAATTCACAAAAAGACAAAAGGCTAAAATAGCCAATAAGACAAAATGTCACATCAAACCCATAATCATTTCACTTTTTCTCTCACAAACATTACATCTAACTATAAAAAAATCCAACCATCTTCCCAAACACACAAATTTTAGCCTACTAAAATAACCAACTTCCCAAACAAGGCCTAATAAGACATTGGAATTTCCTAG